ATAAGCCAGATATATTACTAGAAATGAACTTGGAATTAAAATGTGAGGGTGTGGACTTCCCTTTATTTATAAATGAGACTTTGTGGGTTAAAGAATAATCAGCTAGACGGGCAGCTTCTTCTAAAGTTTCTACCTGTTTTTCATCTAAAAAAGATTTAACATCAGAGTGAATACAACGTTTAAACTCTTCAACTAACATGAGCTGTCTGAGCTTTTCATGATTTTTATTTATTTTCTTAGATAGACACCACCGATCAAAAAGTTGTTCTTTTTCTCTTGCAAATTCGACATGGGTTTGACCAGTTTCTTTCTTAGAATTTCTGAATTTTTGCCTGAAGGCCTCTGGTACTAACTCATAACCTTTCAGAATTAATTCTTTTACATTATCATAATTAGAGCTTTGTTCAACAGTAAGTTGTGTATAGATCTCACGAGCTTTACCAATTAAGACGCTCTGTAAAAGTAATGTCCAGTGCTCTCTTGGCCATTTTAAATTTTCAGCAACCTTTTCAAAATGAAGAAAATACTTATCAACTTCTTTTTCTTGGAAAGGTGGAACAAGCCTAATGTTTTTAGTGACATCAAATTTTGAATTTATTCTATGTTCAAACTGATTTGCTCTCTCTTTGATTTCTAATTCTCTCATTTTCTTAACTGAAATTCTCTCTCTTCTGCTTTCTTTTTCTAATTTTCTCTCTTCCCTTTCTTTTTCAAAACTGCCTTTCCCTTTCTTTTTTCTTCCCTTTCTTTTTTCTAACAGTAACTGCGCTTTCTTCCCTTTCTTTTTCTACAGTAACTGCCTTTCTTCCCTTTCTTTTTCTTCTCTTTCTTTGTCTAACTGCATTTTCTCTAATTCAAAATTTAAATTGAAGTTCAAGCTCTCTTATCTTTATGTTCAGAAATTTCAGAGTGTTTTTCAACAATGTGAGAAAGTGCATCTTCTCCAAAATATCTTCATCCACAAAATAATGAATCAGAAGATTTTTAATTTCTTGTTTACGCATTGAAGATTTAATTTCTAATAAATTATACTTTTTTTGCAAGATTCGAGCAAAATCAGTTTTCTTAGCCAAATCTAATACCACCTGAGAAGGTTCTAGCTACAAACTTTTCTAAATTAAAAGACATGACTGCTTGCTGCTGGTTTTTAAACTCAGAAAAGTGATGTGTTTCAAAAAATTTTAAAATGAAAGGTACACTTAATAGAACAACTATGATATCAACTCAGATGAGTAAATACGGTAATAATAAAATGTAAAATAAACAGTAATAATTTCCAATAATGTAGCCAAAAAGAAATATTCAATCCCGGACGAGCCCCCAATTTCTGTTATGAGCCAGGTGTAACGAGAAAGAAAAGCCAGCAACAAACTTGTAACAATAACAAATTTATTACAGAAAAATTATCAAAGAAAAATAAAATAACAAATTACGTTTACAAATACCTGAAGTCCAAATAAAAATGAAATCTTAAATGTCTAGTCTGATCCTGGAATGATCCTTTTTTGAATAGCACACTTAAATCCAAGTAAAATCCAAGAACACTTTAGAATAGATTCCCACAATAAAATCCACAAGAATAATTTAAACTATTTTAAAAATAATCCAAGCTCCAATAAATCACTTAATATCCAAGTTGAAAAATACTCCAAATATACTGATGACTTAAGGTAACTGATGACTTAAAAGATCACTGATGACTTAAAAGGTCCCCCAAATGAAAAATATCCCGTATTATATGTATAAACTAGGAACATTCCAGAAAAGTCTATTATGTGCTATCATAATCTAGCAACTTCAACAATAAAGACCACTCCGGAAATTTCTATCTTAAAATAATGCATGAGTTTTCTACAACAGTCAAGAAAGCTCTAGCACACACATGTAGTTTACGTTCTTAAAACAGAACAACGACAATACTGGAAACACCAACTGGTCAGATATAAATTATATACATGCAATATGCTGCATACATAACAATTTGAAGTGGGATTTTACAACTATTTCACAGAAATGATCACCATATTGAGAAGATGTGTCGCGCACAACATTTGGGTCCCTACCTTGAAGGTCAAGGTCACAGCATGACCTTGCAGCAAAATCATGTCCGACCCATAACTACTTTATTTGAAGTCGGATTTTAAAACTATTTCACAGAAATGATCACCATATTGAGAAGATGTGTCACGCGCAACATTTGGGTCCCTACCTTGAAGATCAAGGTCACAGCATGACCTTGAAGCAAAATTGTGTCCGGCCCATAACTTTGTTATTTGAAGTCGGATTTAATAACTATTTCACAGAAATGATCAACATATTGAGATGACGTGTCGCACGCAAGTCGGTAGAACGATCTAATTGAGTAGAATTGCAGTGCAAAGAACTGTAACTCTGCATTGCTTAAGTTTGGAATTATTACATTTTGAACTTTGTCTGGAACTACAGAATATATATTTTTCTGTGTCCAAATCCTAGTCAGGGAGCTTCACCCTGTTCAACTGGCTCTTGTTTTGTCCTGAGCTTAACTTGAAAACTAGTAGTTGGAATTCAATAAAACTTCATACAATGGTCAAGCGCAGTGAGAGGACATGCAGTGAACAATAACCATATCTCCATCTTCAATATTTGCAGTGTAATTGCCCTTTGTTTAATTTCCATGTCAGGTGCATAACTTAAAAACTAATGTTTGAAATTAACTTCATACAATGGTAAAGCGCAATGAGAGGAAGTGCAATGCTCAAGAAATGTAACTCTTATCTTGACTTAATTCAAGAAAACTCATCAATGGTTAACAACAGGGAAAGGAAATGCAACTATCTTTATTTGCCCACAACCTCTATTTCAATACTTTTACAATGTGTTCTGTAACTATTTACGCCCTTATTTTCGAAGCAGTCTTGGGGGGGGGGTGGGGGTATTAATCACATTTAGAGATAGTTTTAGTTTGCACAGTTATGACCCCTTAATGGTTTATTTTATGAGTAAAATAAGCTTGCCCGGGTTGCATCACCAAAACTGATGGGAGAGAACTTCACAGAATTGTTTGTCACCAAGCCTAGTTATGCATTGTTTAGTATGACAGTTTTCTGATCAATAACTTGACAACTAATGGGTCAAAATGCATAGGTGCACTGGTCTCAGTCAGTAAATGATCCCTATTGATATTAGGGTCAAGGGGTCAAAGGTCACATTGACCTTGAAAGTTAATACAGTTCTTGTAGGTAAAAACAGTTTCTGATCAATAACTTGACAAGCCATGGGGTGTTTGGCCTTCACTTTTGTAGGTGCACTGGTTTTGGTTAGTATATGACCCCTATTGATTTTAGGGTCAAGAGGTCAACGGTCAAGGTCATATTGACCTTTGTAACTCAAAATTTTTTCTTTATCAATAACTTGCCAACCCATGGGCCATTGACCCTCAAATTGCATAGGTGCATTGGTCTTGGCCAGAAAAAAACAATCCCTGATCAATATCTCAACAACTCATGGGCCCTTTACCTTCACAGGTGTTATGGCTTGAAATTTGTATTAGGGGTGTAATTTCTGATGCTAAATTGAATCAGCTGGCCCACTTTTGAAAATTTTTACATTGTTTGACCTATTGTCATTTTTATGCCCCCGGGCATATAGTAATTGAACCGTCCGTCCATCTGTCCGTCCGTACAAACTCAGGGGTACTTGTGTGACTTTGGGAACAATGGGTAACAGTAAGTTCTCTTTGATCCTATTCATTTCCTTTTTACTTGTGTGTGTTTTTTTTAAGCCTTGTGTGACTAAAGATGGCCAAAAAGATCAAAGGAAAAGTCACATAAGTACCATTTTATTAGTACGTCTGTCTGTACGAGGTTAACCTAGAACGGCAAGTTGGTTTTTTCTTAAGTTCTACCTGTACCAATGGCTTCATAATTTACACACTAATCCATACAAAGTAAATGATCTGAGCAAGTTTACATAACTATGGTTCCCATTTGCACCAAGTTATGGCCCTTTTCAGCACTTAGAAATTGAATAATGGTAGAATTTTGTCTTCCACTTCACTCTCTATTGTTAAATTGTTGACAACAATGAGCGCGGGGGCATTTGTGTTTATCAAACACAGATTCTTGTTTTTTCTTGTTACCATATAGAATGTATAAAGAATTTGCTGTCCCAAACAGTAAACTGCAAACATCTACACCCTACATATTTTGCATGTGACATTTTGTGTATTCACAAAAGTCATAAAAAATGTCCAATCAAAATTAACCCTGCTCTAGTGTTCATTTATTCTGCATTTATTCTACATAGTCTCATAGGAACAAACTTACAGCATAGATAATTTTAACAAAGCCTTTCCAAATTAATAGGACAAAATATTTCAATTTACATAGTTAACAATGAAATTATGGGTTAGATTGATCTGCGGCCATCTTGGCTTTATTGTTTATAATGAAGAAAACAAATCAATAAGTGATGTGAAAGAATATAACTAGAGGGGCAAGTTTAACTTGAGCTGGACGTACCTTCCAGTAAGTTCATTTGAAAAATAATTTATAATTCTGGTAAGTGACTCAGGGGCCATGATGGCTGTCTTGTTTTTAGTTTTACAGTATTATTTATTCCTTGTCATGGAGAGTTTTCATATTCAGCTGTGAGCAATTCAGAGGCCAGCATGGCCTCTTGTTATGTTCTGGTCTGTATTTGTGATACATGCTGAGGGAAGTGAAATTACTTGGCAAAAATGTTAACCATATGAAGTGATGTGCAGAGCCTAGATCTTCCTCAGATCAAGGTCACACTTTTGTATAAATTTAAAATTTGTTAAACACTTTCAGTTTAAGCAGCAGGTCAAAGTTTAATAACATCTAATAATAGGTAGTCATACATAACTTTTATAGCTTTAATGCTGCACAGTTTGATTGGTTATCATACGAACTGACAAAAACCTTCCCAAAAATACATCAGGAAATCAGCTGTTTGAAGAATGATTAGAATGAGTTCCATGTTGTTGTTTTTTTCAGACATTATAAATATACCAAGTTGGCATAGACAAGATTGACACAGATAATGCCTCAAGCCCTGCCTTTACTTATGAAACAGTATTGTCTGTAGATATGCACGAGGACATTCAACAAGCGGTATGTAGTATATTAATCAAATTTTTAACCTGAGAGTAAAACAGTAAGAAGGAAAAAAGAAAGTGCCATTGCCATATTTCTGGATCATTTCATCTCACTAGGGCACAACTTGCTCAAGGTTACTCAACATCATAAGTCCAGTCTTAGTGCGTCGTCCTCAGTTCTTGAACAATATTTCATAGGTAAAACTCAGGTGGGATTTCAATGAAATTTCACAGAAGTGATCAGTACCATCCCTAGTTAGGCATATTGCTGACATATTACGCTCTGCTGTACAAAATGGCAGCCAGAGCTATTAATAAAAGAATCTTGTCCGGCTTTCACAGGTCTAACTGCTGTTTTACGTTTGATGAACTAGGTCACAGGAACTAAATATGAAAAATTGTGTTAACACTCTATTGGCTACTGTTTCGATTCAAATATCCTGGAAATTGGTCTGAAATTTTGCCGGAAAAAGGTGGGATTATATCCCACACATAGATTAAAAAACTGTATTTAAAACTTAAACTTAAATTAAAAAGGGGGGAAGACACTTATACGCGTACACCTTCTATATTGGGACCAAAAAAAAAACCCCCTAATAACTATGTTTATTGACTGATTTATTTATTGCAAATCCTACTTGTAATATAAAACCTAGTTTTAAACGGGGGAAGACGCTTATAAGCGTACGCCTTCCTATAGCAGGCCAACGCAGTAAAACACTGTAATTCTTTGTTTTTAAACATTCTTATTTCACATATGAAAGGTTTATTAATATAAACCTTAGTAACACGCCTGAGAACATAGTTTTTACCTATCAATACGGCCACCATATAGTAAAACTTTTTGATTAGGGAGAACAATGCAGAAACGAATTTTGACAGATAGCGCCAAACCACGTTTTAAAGGTGAATTTTGATTGGCCAAAAAATTATGCGATTTGTATGGCTAATTTGGAAGAAGTGAAGAGATATTATTGGTTGTTATCAAACAGATTTCATTGGCGCATTTACTATCCGATTTTGCAGCTTAGCTTGAAGAATTTTGTGATCTAAACCACGTGGTCTGTGTATTGACATTTCTGCACTGTCTCCCTTATAATGTTAAAAATAGTAACAACTGTGTCTATTTAAAGGCCAAACTCGACACCGCTTGAACTGTAATATAAAACAAAGGAGGGGAATAGTACTGAGTTGTAATTGGTACATGATCTTATAAGAATAACAATGATATTCAGTAATTTTATTGTTATTCGAAACTCTCTATAGACCTATACTAAAAGAATATATAGAGAGATACGAAAAATTTACAACCCTTAAATGGCTAATAATAAATTACTTGGTTACCTACAATGTGATGAGTGCAGCTTTTTAAAGAAGAAAAAAGCTGGCTCATACTTTCCCTACTCAATGAAAAATTAACGTGTGCTCCATTTTTGTCATTGAGTAGGTAACAGTGTGAACTGTTTAATGCATGAATTTGTGTATATAGGTACAATCTGATATGGAGTCTTTGCTAACATTAAGGTTGTCTTAAAGTAAAAAGAAATGCATTATATTGCAACGTATATATATTCTTAAAGAATATATAATGCTTAATTTTAATTATAGAAATAGTCAGCCTTAATGTGATGAAGTCCTCTTGATAACATAAAATAAAAGAGGAATTCATACTTGATTGAGCCCTATATAGCATTTGCTCCATATTGTTTAAACACTCACTCACTGGGCTCAATATCAACATATAGTATGTTATAGATTGTACCCTATATAAGAAAGAATAAAAGGAAAAGAAAGTTTGTTTATTTACAAGCAGACCAGCTGTTTATTATTTACAAGGGATAAAAATATAGATAAAAGATGAAAAATGGCGTCATTATAATACATTGTATGTATCATGTAGCCACAACCCAATTTTGATTGATCATGTACCAGGGACAATAAAACTTGGTGATAGTGTACAGTCAGTATTTAAGAAGATAATTATGTATTAAAATAAAGTAAAAATGTAAATAAATAAACAATAAATAGTTATCTCACCGTTTCACGGCCACTTTTTAGGACCACTTTTAAAATTAAATTACATGTAAAAATTTGAATTTCTTCCATAGATTAGCCAAGGTGCTTTAAGGTAGTCTTACTATAATGCTTTCCCGCCCCCAAAAATCTAACATTGGTCATATGATGGAGCTCTTAATTCATGTTACAAAAGGAACAATAGAGTTGTATTGGCAACACCCCTTGGCAGGTAATTGAAAAAATACATATAGCTACTATATATAATTATGTAGTTTAAACTGATGGAGCTGTCTCTCATGGACAGTTAAATGATATCAAAGTAAAAAGTTTTTATTAAGTAAAATTTAGCAATACAAATTAATATTATGCATGGAGGAGATGCGCACGGGAGGGAGGAAAACGACCAAAAGTTACTAAAAATAAATTTTTTTTTAAAGTGAAACTACAAGAGTATGTATTAGATTAGAATTAAATTAAACTACTTATTGTTTATCTGTGTCTCTATTATATGGAAACAATTAAGAATAACTAATTAAACAGCTTGGGAACAGGTTTTTTCCTGGGGTATGGCCAGTCCACACGCTCAGGTCAACCTGTCCCAAACCTGTTTTTATCAAAATTTATTTCAAAATGACACTTAACCTTTAAATTATGGTCTGGCACCCAGAATGGTAAATAATTTATAACAGAATTCAGTACTTTTCATATAAGGTGTATGTTTCCCCTCTGACAGATTATAATTGGTGTTTTATATATAGAAATTCCTTTATTATAGTCATTTGAGGACATTTTACAACTAATTAACATAACAAATATCAATTGTAATACATTCTTTATGTTCATAAGTATCTAGTTTGGGTAAGTTTACAGAGTGGTATCAATCAAACCACAAATAATTAAGTGGGGGGAAGACAACTCATACTATTACCAGTAATTTTCCTTTAATAGGTACAAATCTTATTATTTTCTATCTTATTATCAAATATTATATGTGATACTTATTAAAACTACATAATTCATATTCAAAATAAGTCATATTGTAACCATTTTATGTTAATAGAGCTATTTTTTAAGTAAATTCAAATTGCATATTGAAAAAAACAGTATTGGTCCATTTTTGAGTTACTTCCCTTGTACTATGCCATTATCTGAAATTATGTATTGTCTTTATTGGATTTATGTATCATAGGAAAATGGCCATATCCTTCTTAATTTTCAATGAAATTTGATGGGATTTTCTTTATTTATTCAATGAAAGATTGCTCTTAATTAATATAACTATGTGGCATTTGTAAACAACGAACATTTTCTTGTGGGGGAGTTTAAGTTTGTGTAGTTTTTCCTTGTTTATTGTTAAATTGACTATTTATCTGATAGTTGATGTACTGTATAGGGAAATAACTATAACTTTTTTAGTAGAACACAAAACTTGATGAGGATTTTTTTGTTAAGACCCTTAATGATGTTTGTTAATTGTTATTAAATAGTTATATAGGTTTTTTAATTCCATTTGGGTTTAATTTATGATTTTACTGAGTCAAATTATGTCAATTTATGGAGATTTCACTGGTTTTCATACAAATCTGTAACATCTATTTATTTAATACCATTATATGAATATTATACATTTGTTTTAGACGAAGTAGCTGTTAACCAAGTTGGTATTTGGTGTTGTGAGTTATCAATTGGAATTTAATGCCAAAATGGCGGATTATTTACTACATTTCGAGCTTATCAAAACTATAAATCCAGAAAAAAGAACCGGTGTTAAAGGGGACTTTAGTATACAAACTGGGTCCCATAAACCTCTGTGTTAAATTGAAGTAGAGGTAAACAAATATTGTGGTCTATAAATTAATGTCAGAGGGGAAGAGAAATAGGATTATACATTAAAGACCAGTCATGACTTCTTATTATACCCCCAAAAACGAAGTAGGAGTCACCCAGTGGTCGCTTGTTCGGTTGGTTGGTCGGTCGGTCCAGCGGTCCGTTGCATTTTCCTTGTCTGGAGCATAACTTGAAAAGTAATGGTTGGAAGTCAATATAACTTCATACAATGGTCAAGCACATTGAGAGGAAGTGCAGTGCACAAGAACCATAACTCCATCTTGACTTATTACAGAGTTATTGCCCTTTGTTACTTTTCCTTGTCCGTAGCATAACTTGAAAACTACTGGTTGGAATTCAAAACAACTTCAAACAATTGTCAAGCACAATAAGGGGAAGTGCAGTGCACAAGAACCATAAGTCTATCTAAAGTAATTACAGAGTTATTGCCCTTTGTTACTTTTCCATTGCTTTCTTTTGTCTGGACCATAACTTGAAGACTAATGGTTGGAATTCAATATAGGTCAAGCACATTGAGAGGAAGTGCAGTGCACAAGAACCATAACTCTATTTGAACTAATTACAGTTATTGCCCTTTGTTACTTTTTTGTCCTGTGCATAACTTGAAAACTTTTAGTTGGAATTCAATACAACTTTATACAATGGTCAAGTGCAATGAGAGGAAGTGCAGTGTACAATAACCATAACTCCATCTTCAGTATTTAAAGAGTTACTCCCCTTTGTTCCCTTTCCTTGTCTTTCTGGACTTACTGCAGAGTAATTCAATAAAACTTCATCAATGGCCAACCACATTGAAAGGAAATGCAACATACAAGAACCACAACTATCTTTAATTGCCCACAACCATAACTGTATTTCAATTGTTATGCCCCCCTTCGAAGAAGAGGGGGTATATTGTTTTGCTAATGTCGGTCTGTCTGTCGGTCCGTCGGTCTGTCCGTCGGTAGACCACATGGTTTCCGCTGATTATCTTGAAAAGTATTTATTACAAAAGTCTTCATATTTCACATAGTGATTGGTGCCATAACTAGTAGATGACCCCTATTGATTTTTGGGTCACTAGGTCAAAG